AACTAAATGAACTGAATAACAACAACAAACCAAATGTGATCATGGCTATTTCTGTCAGAGAGGTGTCATAAGGATAGTCAGTCAGCTTTTTCCAGTTTTTGTGATGTATTTTTTATTTATTTACCTTTTGTTTACTTTCAGATTTTTGTAAAGTGCAGTATAAATAATAATAATCATTGTTTTTAGTTTTTTCTTAGCATTTGTATTACTGGCAGGCATCTCCGGTGGTTGGAGCTTGATCTTTTTTACATTCACTTTCAAACTGCCATGTAGAACAAGCAAGTTGCACATCTTATACATGGCGCATAAAATCTGTATTGATACCTGCAACATGTTCACTTATTGCACTTGCATTTTGTTTTTTTTTATTATTCCATATACATACTAGTAAGCCCTACTCTAAGAAATTAGAAACTGTAGACTCCCAACATGAGCCTTTGTAACAGAGATCATGTAGTAGCGGTCCGCAGTCCAGATCCAGACACACCTGCTGGCTAATCCGGACCCAACATGATTTAAAACCTTTATAAATTACCTCATGTTGTCCGACGGCAGTGTCTAATTTCACTTGCGCCGCTTTTCTCCTGTTTGTACAGTAAAGCCCTCCGGGACCACTCTACACGTGATGCAAATTAGCCAATGAGCTGTGTCAGTCAGGGCTGCTGCCGCTAGCTACTTTTAGACACAGCCGGCAAACCTTGGGCGGTGAATAACGATGATAAGAAAATGTGAAAGAAAGTGTAGAAGCACGGTGAACTGGTGACAGAAAAGTGCAGAGATGACCCTGCACATTTTGAGTGTGTTTGGCTCAACATACTGCTGTGAAGCAGCATTCTCCACCATGAACATAGTCAAAAATAAATATCGATCCAGGCTCACGAATGAGCACCTTGATATGTGCTTGAGAAAGGCTTTGTCGCCATTCAGACCCAGGTTTAAAACCTTGAGCCCACTTCTCTCATTAAACAAGAAAATAAGAAAAAAAAAATATGTCAGTTCAGGTGTTTTTCTAAATGTTTATCTATATACCAAACTTAACGATTGTTGTTCTGTGCTTCAAAAAACATGTTAGATTTTAAAATGGAAACATTTTATTTTTATTTAATTTAAAAAGTCAATGGATAATGTGGATGGATAAAAACTCATCTTATTTCAGTGTTAAATTCTGTTTAAGGTAACAGATTATAATTAAAAATGTCTCCGGACCTTTACTGGTTGTTGACTTTCTTTATTCGGACCCCGCTGATTTCTAATTGGTTACCCCTGCTTTATAACATCCTGTCAGTGCTCCTTTGTGGAGAAAGTAGTTAAAAATTCCTAGAATAATTGTGCTAGAGTTCCCACAAATGGACACTCAGCAATAATGAAGTTCTTCTACAGGCCTCCAACTGTGTCATCTGACCCAACTCTGGGGTGTTTAATTATTACAGTAATTAAAACTCTTTGGAAATCACTTCCTGTTTGATATGCTTGAATAGGTTTCTCAGGAATAATTTACTCAAGGTGCTGTTCTCTTCCTTTTTGTTGCTCTTTGTGCCTCCTCTCTGACCCTCTTTTCTATTTTGTACATTTTACTGTTTGTGTTGGTATTGAACTTTGAGAGGTGGGTTTTGTTTTGCAGAAACACTTGGGTTTTACTGTTTTAGGGCTCAGTGCTTTTGGATGACTTATGTTGAACTGTCTGCTTGTCCAAGAGTTGTTGAACTGTCTGCTGTCCAATAGTTGTTTTCTAATATTTCATGATTGATTAACAAGAACAATGTGTTGAATGAATTGAAGGTTTTACTATTTGGAGAAAAAGTTGTTGCCACTAATCAACAGTCAGCTTGGCTGATTATTCTATACTTTGCAAGTTTTCATTTGATCCAATTAATCACTTCTTCATAAATGTGGTTTTCAGCCTATTAAAGCACACATTTGAGATAATTAAAACTGTGTATCAGCCCTATGTAATGAAGGCATTTCTGTTCTTTTTAATCTTCGGCACATCTGGTCTATTTGTGGGTGTGACCACTTTTTTAACCTAGATATTGCAGATGATTAACAATCATCTGCAATATCTAGGTCATGCATATAAAAAAAAATCAAAGTTCAAGTTTCATAAAAAGACATTTCTTCAATGCAAGTTAATTCTGGTGGGAATGCATTGTGTGGTTGTAGTCTCTTAAGGCGTGACCTAAAGTTGCTTTTTCCTGGCAGCGTAATTCTTACCACTCACTAGTAAAACTTCTGAATTGAAAATTTAATAAAGATATGCTGTCTAATAAAGCCACAAGTCATAGATTTTAATTGTTGGTTTGTAAGATGTAATATTAGAGTTGTGGGGAAAGGACAGACGTTCATAGTTTGTTTTTCTTTCTGCCATCAATTTCTTCAAGCTGTAAACTATTGGTTGGGGTTTTTTGTAAAACAGAATGAAATCAAAGGCTGGGTTCTCTGGGTGCAAGCAAGGGCTCATCGGCTGGTGTTTTCTGACACATTTTTAGAAGTTCAGTGATGAAATTGCTATGGGAACCAACGTTATCTCCCAGGAGTTGTTCCAGAAAGCGTGCAGGCAGACAGCAGTAACGGTGAGTTAAACTGATCAAATCCATGGGAAGGGGAACACTCTTTAGTTGGATTATGCAGGTTGTGTAGAGCCTAATCATTCTTTAAATGCTGGATGGTAGATAACGGTGCTTAAAATGGAAATAAACTCGCTGGAGATGCATGAGGTGGATGACGGATGAACTACTGAATCTAAACATTGGAGTCAAAAAGGGTCGAGCCTCTTTGGACATTGATTCATGCCTTTGCTAAGTTGCTGCTTCACTCAGTCTAGTTGCCCCTACATTTCATGATGTCGTCCTAAAGTATCTACAGAATGGTATCACGACTCTCTCAGTGATAAAGCTCTTTATTAGGAAGGTTAAACATACTGTAGCGTCACCGCTCTTATACATACATAAAAAAGCCATTTGGTCTCAACTTGGAGCCAATGGTTGCACTGTAATCGTCTCTTGCTGATCAGTGAAAGTGGACATGTGGTATACTGGATACGTGCAAGGCAGCACTTCATGGAGAGGGGCTAATTCTCACTTTTCTATGTAGGACTGCAATGACTACTCCTTTTCCAGGACAGGGAGGGGCTGCTTTCAGAGACCAGAATTCCTGATCAAGAGAAATTCCGCTTGGGGTATAGTATTGATGAAGGACTAGCATCATACCTCAAAAGCTCCCTTAAATTCTGTTGTCTAGTCAATTAAGAAAATAATCTGCAGGGACTTACATTTCCCATGTCCCCCATGTTGCTTTAGTAAATGTTATTACTTAATTGTAAACAAGGAATATAGATTTTTTTTTGCCCTCTCCTCTTGTGTTGAGCTCTATAATCAAATCAAAAGTTGGCTCTCTATTGCTGTCTTGACAATTGCTATTTATGGCCCAGACTTTAAGACCTCAATCTATAAGGGAAACTCCGATGTTGTCTGACCTGCTTTTCTCAATTAAAGATTCTGTCTGGTTAGAGGCGAAGCAGCGAGCATATCACTCCTTCACTGAACACCCGACTGTCACTTCATATTCTTGGAAGACATTTTGTCAGCTTCCTGTTTGGAATGATAGTAGAACTTTTCAGCACAAAATGCACTTTGTTATCTAATCAGCCACTACTGTTATTTTGCAGACATTTGGCTCCAGCAAGTATTCAATTTTATGAAAAAATAGACTGGGAACAATTATTAGGATTTCTTTTATTCTAAGTTGTCTAATTTGGAAAGCTTTATAAATGGGAAAACACATCCACATTTATGCTAAAACCTTAGAACGAGCATTTGAATCTTTATGAAATGTTTTGTTTATAATCGGATACTATTAAGTGCTTTCAGGAGAAAGATACTGGCCTTTCACTTTAATCACTCATGGCACATTGAAAAGTAGTCTCAAATAGTCCAGTCCTCAAGGGTTGTGCAACTTTTAGATTTGCCCTTTGCCCCTGCACAGCTGAATCAATTGGCAAAAATGCCTCAGGCTAGCATGCAATATAGTTCTACTGACTGATGCTGGAGTAAGGTGTGTTCAAGCATAGACACTGCTAAAAGTTGCAGTACACTTTTCCTCTAGGGCTGGAGTTTGAATCCACCCAGAAACTTGTCAGAACCCCATCACATTGCACTGGTTATATT